TATTGGTCCTTACTTAAGAAATGATTACTGACATCAATCTTCTTTTGGTAACTTTTATGGTTTTTCAAAAAAAAAAAAAATATCAAAAACAGTATCAAACTTACCTAGAGTCTGCATTTTTTGTTCTAGTAAAGTGTGCAATACTTCAAAAGCTGAAGTCACAAAGAAGTCCCAGCTCTTGCTGGGTGAAAAAGCTCTTTTCAACACCGTGTGAAAATGATCCAGAGATTTGTAGTGAGGATTTATCCCACAATTTTTGAATCACTGCAAGTTACTGGCTGATTTGTAATGATTAAATTAGTGAATACAACCTCTTGCTGCTTGATTTTCAAGAAGTTGCTGAATTTTGCCATTACTTGCCTATAAACCTGATGACAGAAAGCTACATCTAGTAACTAACTAATCATATAACTAGTCTTTTAATGATGCAGTGAACCTCACTTGCATAGAAAATAAACTATTAGAAATGCCAACTCTTTCCTTTGCATTTTAACTTGTTGATTTTCAAAGTGTCAAATGTTAACTTTTAACTTATTTTCATACTTTTTCTTGTAATTCTTTTCTCTCTCGATTTCATCTGTCTCTTTCTGTTGAGTTGGCATTGTATTAGCTCACTGTAAATCAGCTGTTTGGCCCTCCCTCTCTATTTTATTTTATGTCATAAATTGCATTGGCTAAAGAGATAAACTGTTGGTCCCACAAATCACCAACTTCCCTGGTACACTGTTGCCCTTGTTGTGCTGTTGTCAGCTTGCACTTCCAACTGTTTTGTGGCTAGAACGTTTTTGTGCTAAAGGGTGCAGGAACTACTCTAACGAATGGGCAAATGGGAGTTGCCTAGCTCCAGCCAATTTTGTGTTGATGATTCATCAAACGTAATTATGTAATTTATTGACCAAAAGATAGAACAGGAGCATTTGTTTGATTTTCTTTTTTCTTTATTCTTTTTCTTTCTCTTTTTGTTTGCTGTGTGATTTTTATTTTAGACTTAATATCTGTCTTAAAGTTTTGGTCAATGTCTGTCTGTGTCAGCATACTGACTGCTTGCTAAACGTTAACAGGAAGTTATAGAATGTGATGTTGTGCACTTTTGCAAAATACCAGTTACGTAAGTGTTAATGTCAGATCTGTTTGGGCACAGATGAAAATATAAGCAGCTCACTGGAGTTTAGCTCTTTTTTTTGCAACTGTCAAATTCTTAAGTATGGAGAGATTTTTCCTCATTTACCAAGGCATTAGCTGACATAATAAGTAATTACTATCATCTTCATAACCTCTAGCAATGCTGCCATTTAACCATCCAAAGAGGTGGAAATGAAACTTAGTCTTTTGACCTTTTCTCTCTTATGTCATCCAAACACCTGACTTGCTCTAACAGTAATTGCTGGAAAAACTCAGGTCTGGCAGCATGTGTGGAGTGAAAGTAGACTTAACATTTTAGGTCCAGTGACCCTTTGGAACTGATTGTAGCAAGGAGAAGTTTGGCATATATTATGAAGGTTTGGGTTTGGAGGGGGGTGGTGGTGTGGGGGATGCAGTTGATTGTGGCAAAGGGTAAATGTTACATGGAGCCTGGAGTGAGAGAACAACAGTTGGGCAGGCAAAGAAACTGGTAAAAGTCAATCTGGGAGAATCAGTAGCTGTTAATGGGGACCATTCGTAGCTGATAACGGGTTGATTGTGGTAGCTGTCCATATGATGACAAGACCTGGTGTGTGGGAGTTGGGTAAAGACATGAGAGAAGGTGCCCAGACCCTAAAATTATTGAACTCAATATTGAGTCCTGAAGGCTGCAGTGTCCCCAAGTGGAAAATGAGATGCTGTTCTTTTGGCTTGAGCTGAACTTTGCTGGATCACTGTAGCGAGCCTGAGATGGAGATGTTGGCTAGGGAACATAGTGGTGTGTTCAAGTTGCAAGCAACAGGAAGCTCAAGGTCATTTTTTGTGGACACAACGTAGGTGTTCTGCGAAACGGTCTCCAGTCTGCATTTGTCACCCCAATGTAGAGTAGACCACAGTGTGAGCAGTGAATAAAAGTAAAATGGATTGAATGAAGTACAGGCAAATCTCGGCTTCACCTGGAACATAGGTCTAGAACCTTGAATAGTGGGGAGGGAGAAGGTAAACAAGCAGGTGTTAAACTTCTGCATTTGCAAAGGAAGGTGCTGAGTGAATCTGGGGAGGCGTTGGGAGTGAAGGAGGAGTGGACCAAGTTGTCCCGGAGGGAATGATTCCTGCGGAACGCTGACAAGGGAGGGGAAGGGTATGTGTCTGGTTGTGGCATCCCACTAGAGGTGGTGGAAATGGCAGCTAATGATCTTTGAAAGTGGTTATTGGAGAGGTGGTAAGTGCAGACTGAGGGACCCTGTCAGTATGTTGAGGGAAGAGAAGTAGTGAGGACAGAAGTGTTGGAGAAGGCCGAATCAACAGAGGTGGGGGAGAATCCTCAGCTGAGGAAGAAAGTGGATGTTTCAGGGGCCCACTTGTAGAAACTGGTCTCATCAGAACAGAAATGCTGAAGGCTGAGAAACTGGGAGATTGGAATAGAGTCTTTACAGGAAGCAGTGTGTGAAGATGTATAGTCCAGGTAACTGTGGGAGTTGGTGGGTTTGTAGTGGATATTGGTGGCCAAGCTATACCCAGAAATGGAAACAGATGTTGAGGAAGGGAGGAGCCAGGTTGAAGGTGAGGGCAGGGTGGAGGGGGATGGGCACAAAAGGGATGGACATAACTGGGGGCTGTGCCAGTGGCAATGGCCACACTTTTGACCTGAAGAAAGTTTGAGGAGTTTAAGAAAAACTTACTCAGTGTGAGGATTTTCCAGGCCAGGTGAAGAAGGAGGGTTGTGGTGGTTGGGGCTTTCAGTTCAGGCCTTTCTTTCCCAAGAAGAAATGGAGACCCCTGATGTAAAGCATGAGAAGAATCACAGATGTAAGTGGGAAATGATTGGACAAGGGGAGAAAAATTCAATCCAAGTCAAAAAGATCACTTCTGAGGCAAGTGCAGACAGAAACAGTGGGTCTGCCTGGCAGTCCTATTGTGGATCCTGGGTAGGAGATAGGAGCAGGCTGTGTCGGGTTAGGGTCCATAAGCTTGGAGCCAGTGGTGAGGAGATCACCAGATGAAATGAGATGAGTGACAGTTGTAGACATAATAGCCTGGTGTTCGATGGTGAGGTCATGTTCCGGTGGAGAAAGGAGGAGGTGTCCCAGAGCTGGCATTGAGCCTCCACAATGTAGAGGTCAGTTTGCCAGACAACAATAGCACCATCTTTGTCTGCAGCCTTGATTACAAAGTCAGGGTTGGATGTGAGAGCACTGAGTTCAGAGGGAAATATATCCAAATGATTGGGGGGGCGGGGAGGTGGGGGCAGTTGGTGCACAGGAACTAAGGCGACACCTTAGGGATGTGCTGGCCACCAATATGTGCAGTATGTATTAGTACTTGTTTTTATTGTTGACCATAATGTTCAAATGTGTTTGAGTTTTAGAAAGTCAAATAGGTTGGCTGGTGAAAATTAGCCTCTTTATCAGTACTAAGCAAGTACACGGCTTTCAGATGTGAGGTGGGTTTTTTTGCCCTCATCCTGTGAATGAATAAGGCATCTCTGGCTAAACAGCATTATTGCCCATCCCTAATTGCCCAGAGGGCGTTAAGAGTCAACCACGTTGCTGTGGATCTAAGTCACATGTAGGCCAGACCAGGTAAGGATGACAATTTCCTTCCCTCAAGGACATTAGTGAACCAGATGGGTTTTTCCAACAATTGACAATAGATTCTTGGTCATCAGTAATGTGTATCATCTACAAGATGCACTGCTGAAGTGCCTTAGATAGTATCTTCCAAACTCACCACTGCTACCATCTAGAAAGACAGGTGCAGCTGATAGTTGGGAGCATCATCAAGTTCACCTTATGCTACTCATTATCCTGACTTAAAAAATACATTGCCATTCCTTTGGTGTCTCTGTGTCAAAATCCTGGAATTCCCTCACCATTGGCATTGTTGGTGTACCTACAGAATATGGACTGCAGCAGTTCAAGAGGGTAGCTTACCACCATGTCCCAGGAATGAATAATAAAAACTCCCTTAACTTTAACAATTAAATGTTCAAATGTAGCTTAGGTCAGCATAGTGTAATAAATATTTGTAATTTATTCTCAACACCAGCTTGTACTGGATATATTAAAGTTGAATAAGTCCATCTACTGATTTGATTTCAAACAAAAATCCAAGTACTTCTGAATGAAATTGTGGACATTGTTTCCTTGGGTAATTATTTTTGTGTGTGTTTCGAGATTGCTTGGTAAACTAAATTTAAGATAACTTTTTTTGACATTGGAGCTGTGATACTTGGATTCAATTATGCTATTGTATTCATTAGTTCTTGTTAAACATATTGAAAGTTATGCATTGAGCTATGTGATTGGGTGAAATGACTTAAAATCATAGAAATTATAGAATCCTTACAGTGTGGAATATGAGATAATAAGGTGTAGAGCTGGATGAACACAGCAGGCCAAGCAGAATCAGAGGAGCAAGAAGGCTGACATTTCGGGCCTAGACCCCTCTTCAGAAATGTGAGATGACTAGTTGAAGGAAAGCTAAATGTCTTGCTGCAAAACTTTTGTTAATGATAGCATAGTGTATTTTGCTAATTTGAAAAATAATTCAAGATGAGATCTGTTACATCATAGATTTCATTTAAATTGAAGCAATAATGCTGTACAATGCAAGTTCATCTCATTTCGCACCAGTCTTATGAATTAGTATAAATCCATAGTCGGAGCCAAACTTGTTTCTGTACCGCTTTAACTTGTGAAGTCAAAGTATTTTGTGGTGATGCTACAATTATACTGTTATTATAGCCTAGAGAAGTGGCATTTCAGAAATGCATTTTATTCTGGGTGAACATTATCTATATATCTGTAGCAGTGTTAAATGGGTTTCAAAAAAAACCTATGCACTTCAACCTTATCTTGAGCCTTTTATTTTCACAGTTCCGAAGTGGTTACTGAACAGCAAGATCATAAAGATCACCTCTTCCATGGTTGTGCAATTTGAAACATCATTGCAACTAGAATACTGAACTTAGAAGCAGAAGGAATCATGGCAAGCAGAGGAGCTTCTAGACCAAATGGTCCTGGCCAGACAAAGATCTGTCAATTCAAGCTGGTCCTATTAGGCGATATGGCAGTGGGAAAATCAAGTTTAGTCCTGCGTTTTGTCAAAGGCCAGTTTGATGAATTCCAAGAGACAACAATTGGTGGTAAGTGTTCTTTTTAAATTGTGCAGCTTTTAGCATCTGTTAGTTACACCTTTGGTCTTTGCAAAGCATATTACATTCTGACCAGATCTGAGGTTTGGAGAGCTAGGTAGAAACATCTTAAACTGCTTCTCCTTCTAAAAATCAAAAGGATGGACCCACGTGTAAGTGTATGAATAGATTGACAAGTGCAACATTTAGGTATACAACTTTATAATTTTAGACCAATGTGATAATCTTTGATAATTTTGGTATGGGTTTGTTAATGTTTATAAAGAACTTAGAAGCATAAATTGCATGGATAAGACGTCTTGCCCATGAAACTTGGCCTATCCAAATATGATGCAGCAATGTATACCATGAACCCCTCTAATCCCGCTCTTAAATTCTCTTGGTCAGTTTCAAAAGTATAGCATGAGCAAAGATTGTCACCATTGGATTGATGGGTCACAGCCTTCAACTTTGCATTTCAGGAGTTGTTTACTTTCACAATGTATAAATATTAACTTCAAATAAATCAGAAAATAGTGATTAGGTTACTCCAAGAGTTAGGTTTAAAATATCAGCAAATTAAAAGAAGAGAGAGTCTGAGGAGGGTAGGGAGCAGTTACTGATTGATTAGTAGCGATCATAACTCTGTTTCTTTCACAATAGTCATGGATAAGGATAGGTACATACGGCAGAGTAAAGTTTACAATTGGGGGAAGGGTAATTACAATTCAGTTAGGCAAGAACTGGGTAACATAAATTGGGAACAGATGCTGTCAGGGAGTTTGTGGAGTCTGTCTGTCTGCCCGTCTGTCTGTCTGTCTGCCCGATGCATACCGCATGTGCCCAATATGTTTGTCCCTAGCGGGCAGAGCAGATGCGGTCGAGTGAGGGAGCCATGGTTCTCGAGAGAGGTTGAACGACTGGTTAAGAGGAAGAAGGAGGCTTATGTAAGGTTTAGGAAAAGAGGAACGGAAAATGCTCTAGAGGGATACAGGTTAGCCAGGAAGGAGCTGAAGAAAGGGCTTAGGAGAGCTGTAAGGGGGCATGAGAAAACCTTGGCGGATAGGATCAAGGAAAACTCCAAGGCCTTTTACACGTATGTGCAGAACAAGAGAATGACCAGAGAAAGGGTAGGGCCTATCAAGGATTGTAAAGGGAATTTGTGCACAGAGCCTAAAGAGATAGGAGAGGTCCTTTAATGAATACTTTTCTTCAGTATTCACAACTGAGAGGGACCTAGTTGTAGAGGAGGACGTTGTGAAACAGGCAGGTAGGCTAGAGGAGGTTGTTGTTAGTAAAGATGATGTGCTAGCAATTCTGAGGAGGTTGAAGATAGATAAGTCCCCCAGGCCTGATGGGATTTATCCAAGGATTCTATGGGAAGCGAGGGACGAGATCGCAGGGCCTTTGGCGATCTTTTCGTCCTCACTGTCCACGGGTATAGTGCCGGAAGATTGGAAAGAGGCAAACGTCATTCCCTTGTTCAAAAAAGGGAACCGGGATAACCCTGGAAATTACAGGCCAGTTAGTCTTCCGTCAGTGGTGGGCAAATTATTGGAAAGGGCTCAGAGACAGGATTTATGATCACTTGGATAGTCAGCATGGATTTGTGAGGGGTAGATCGTGCCTCACAAACCTTATTGAATTCTTTGAAGAGGTGACCAAACACATGGATGAAGGTGGAGCAGTGGATGTGGTATACATGGATTTAAGTAAGGCGTTTGATAAAGTTCCCCATGGTCGGCTCATGCAGAAGGTAAGGAGGCATGGGATAGGGGGAAATGTGGCAGATTGGATTCAGAATTGGCTGACCCTTAGAAGACAAAGGGTGGTAGTGGACGGAAAATATTCAACATGGTGTTTGGTTACGAGTGGTGTACCACGAGGATCTGTTCTGGGTCCTCTTCTATTTGTGATTTTTGTAAATGATTTGGATGAAGGAGTGGAAGGGTGGATTAGCAAGTTTGCGGACGATAGGATGGTGGATCACGTTGTGGACAGTGCGGAGGGCTGTTCTAGGTTACAAAGGGACATTGATAGAATGCAGAGCTGGGCTGAGAACTGGCAGATGGAGTTTAACCCTGAAAAGTGTGAGGTGATTCATTTTGGAAGGACAAACTTGAAAGCAGAATACAGGGTTAACGGAAAGATTCTTGGCAGTGTGGAGGAGCAGAGGGTTCATGTCCACAGTTCCCTGAGAGTTGCCACCCAGGTGGACAGAGTTGTTAAGAAGGCGTATGGTGTGTTAGCTTTCATTAATAGAGGGATTGAGTTCAAGAGCCGTGAAGTTATGCTCCAACTATACAAAAGCCTGGTTCGGCCACATCTGGAGTATTGTGTCCAGTTCTAGTCACCTCATTACAGAAAAGATGTGGAAGAGTTAGAAAAGGTGCAGAGGAGATTTACCAGGATGTTGCCTGGAATGGAGGAAGGTCTTGCGAGGAAAGGTTGAGAGAGCTAGGGCTTTTCTGTTCAGAACGACGAAGGATGGGAGGTGACTTGATAGAGGTGTACAAAATGATCAGGGGTATAGATAGAGTAGACAGCCAGAAACTTTTTCCTAGGGTAGAGATAGCTTTTACGAGGGGACATAGTCTTAAAGTGAGTGGAGGTAGATATCAGGGAGACGTCAGAGGTAGGTTCTTTACTCAGAGTGGTCGGGGCATGGAATGCATTGCCACAGAGGGTAGTGGAGTCAGCTTTGTTAGGGACATTTAAGCGGCTATTAGATAGGCATATGGATGATAGTATAAGGTAGCGGTGGAGGTTAGATAGACCTTAGGTTTAGGGTAAAAGTTTGGCACAGCATCGTGGCCGAAGGGTCTGTACTGTTCTATGTTCTATGTTCTATGATTGTTGTCTGTTAAGATGTTGGAGCTGTGGTTACACTTTGGTTGCTAGTTGTTGAAAGCTGACTTGATGAAGATACAGTATTTTTGTAAGAGCTCTGTCTGCTAAAGGTGTTGAGGTTTAGTAATGAAATGTCCTCTCTGTAAAAAGTCTTATTTGACAAATATTTCAACTAAACAATCAGCTGTTCGAATACTTTATAGCACAAAATTATAGAATTCCCTAGAAGCGGGGGAGACAGTTCTGTTTTCAGAGAATTAAGTGATGAATTGATAAAGACAGTGGTGATGATTTAGAATGATGGAGGGAAACTGCTTGGGTATTGTAACAGATTTTTAAAAAATTCCTTACTTTGCCTAGACAACTTAATGTCCAATTCTCCAGTCGTTTTGAGATCAAGTTCCACTCAAATAGTTGGAAGTCATATCCTTAAAATAACTATACTCCCTTAATATTGCACAGGAATGTTAATTTGAATTAAGGTTTTAGGATTTGCGATGGGACATGTACTGTCAACTGAACCAAATTAACATAAAAGGAATCGTATGAATTGAGGAATAAATGACAAAGTAGGATAGAAAACTTCTCTGAACTCGTGGGAGATTGTGTTGCTATTGGGATGAATAATCAGTATCCTAGTGTTAGACTGCAACGGTGCATTATGCTGCAATATTTTTGTTTCAGGATGATAGTTGATCATATGGGATTGTGACAGAATTGATCCAGAACTCCTCCAAGTTGCACACAGTTTTGTAGGATGTAGCTTTGCGTCTCAGCCTGACATGGAGAGGAACAAAAACATTTTTGAGGGTAAACGAGCTGTGTGATTTGACTGCATAGAATTAATCAACTTTTCATTTTTATCTTTGCAGCTGCTTTTCTTGCTCAGTCAGTCTGTCTGGATGACACAACAGTGAAATTTGAGATTTGGGATACTGCTGGTCAGGAACGTTACCACAGTTTAGCACCAATGTATTACAGGGGGGCCCAAGCTGCCATAGTGGTTTTTGATATCACAAAACAGGTAACAGTCCTATTGAAATTTAACTCCTATTATCTGTTGGAAGGAGTTAAAGCTGTTTCACGGTTTTAAGGTATGTGCTGTCAGAGTTTCAGTAATGGTGCTCAATACCCACAAACAAGATAAGAGTCAGAGTTTCTATTTGTGAGTAAAAAGATCCCTCTTAAAAACTGAATTTGGGCTTTGTCCTGTAGTCTTGTGTTTAAAGTATTTATAAGAATAAGACCCTGAAAGCTAGTAAGTAAATTCAAATGGAATTACAGTTTAAGCATTGGGTTGGCCATTTAAACTAACTGTTAATCTGATTAATTTTGGTTTTTAAATTCAGGTTAAATATCCATGTTGTTTCAGAAGATTAAATGACCAAATCAAAATGATACTAATAACAGTCTACTGTATGCATGCTAAAGGTAGCTTTTTGTTTTATGTTGTTGGGAGTTTGAAGGTCTGTTGGATTTGCTCTTACAGGAGCCACAGTTGGTATCTTGCATCTTGACGGTTAGATGGTAAACATTGCATCTCAATGAACCGATGGGATGTATGTTGGTGCATTGATGAGTCACACTTTGTAAAATTGCATAGGTCATTACCATATATCTTGATTGAGCGCACTGTGCTTTGCATTTTTCTGCATAGGGATATATTCAACTTAAAATTTCTTCTCCCTCCCCCCACCTGTGGAACTCATTACAGCAGAATGCTGTGGAGGCCAACTCATTGAGTGTCCTTAAGACCGAGATAGATGGGTTTCTGGTTAGTGAAAGGGTCAAGGATTACAGAGAGAAGGCAGGAGAACGAAGTTGAGAAATATAATCAGCCATGATTGAATGGTGGTGCAGACTTGGTGGGCCAAGTGGCCTAATTCTGCCATATCTTATGGTCTTAGGACACTGACTAGTTCATAAATGATTCGCCAGCCATCAGATATTCACACTTGATCTAAATAGGCATGATTCATTTTATTAAATAGGTGTTCATTTTCTGACATGAATAACACTGAATATAAGGGAAAATCTGGCAAATTTAGTTTTATTTTCCCTTTTCCCCTTTCCTCCTTCAAGAGATGCAGATATTGGTTATATAGCAATCTAACTAAGATCATCTAATTCATCACAAATCAAGTTTGGGATTTCATAGGCTACTATGGCTCAGTAACCCATTAGGTGGTACATATAAAATCAAGTTTTGAGGAAAGCTGAATTGGAATTTTTCCAAACACAGGAAATGATTTGTGCCAGCTGAAGATCTGTTTTGTATTTCAATCCTAATGTTGTTGACTCTGCTAAATAACAGAAATAAAATGGTGCAGCAACTTTTAGTGGCTTTGAAATGTGCACTTCGATCTCACAATAAAGCTGGAGATTGCTCCCAGAAACACTCTTAAATTGGGAACACTAAATTGTGATATCTATTTGATTACTTCCATAAAGTATGAAGAGTAGATTAAATCTGAGGAATTTCATCCTGTAGATTCACACTTTAAACGGTTAGCTGTTGAAAATATTTTTATATTTTTGTATACTTCGGTTTAGAGTAGAACTTGTATTGGTGTGTATTAGTTGAATATATATTGATTTGATATGTTAACCAATGTGTTGCTTTGTATATTTGAATAAAGGTCTCAAAATAGGAGACAAATCTTTAAAATTACAGTAATATCCCTGATATCCGGTACCCCTTATCTGGAATTCTTATGCAGCTGGCAATTGACAGGAGTAGGTTTCCTTGTTCTGGGAACTGATCATTTGGTTGTCTGTCTCCTTTTGATCAAACCCTGCTGATGGTATTTACAAATGGCCCTGGCTGCAACTCTCACATTCAAGTTAGCAGCATTTCCCCATGCGTGCCAGATACTGGGTAGTGTGCTATATTGTACTATATTTACTATATACCATATTTGAGATGTTTTAAATTAAATTGCATTTATTCACTTTTCTGTTTTCTTAAGGAAACATTTGATCGAGCAAAAGCATGGGTAAAAGAATTGCAGAGACAGGCTAGTCCTAATATAGTGATCGCCTTGGCTGGCAACAAAGCTGACCTGGCAGATAAACGAATGGTGGAGTATGAGGTAATGATTAACAACTGTTTACATTTATACTGCACCCATTGCATAGGAGGGCTCAAATTCTATGTAAGAGAGAGAGAAGAGTACAGTACAAACCATTTATTTTAACCCCACTTAAGTTGACATTCTACTTTTTTCAACTGCACTAGAAAGTCCTGATCCATTTTTCTTTCTGCCTTTGCAAATTGCTTCTTGCTATCATGTTGTCAACATACCAGGATGACCTGGTGAATTGGCAAGCAATCTTTGTTCCTGTCACACTATCTTCTATTTGAAACATCCCACATGTTTTGACATCTTTGGCATTTACTGTGTTTGTTTTTAAAAAATAAAAAAAAAAGCTGCTGTTGGCTTCTATCTCTCCAAATTTGTAATGGCACTTCTGTCAAAACAAAATTTAAGAATATTTGTTTTCGGTAAAACTGTAGATATATGTACGTTGTGGCTCATGGATGGACATCATCGATTAGTAATATCAACGAGTGGCTAGTACTTTGCTATGTCAGAGATGTGAAAGGTTCTAGGATAGTGGGGTTGCCCAAACAAGCAACTGGGGAGCCAATAAATCTGGAGAGGAATAACGGGTATATGGGATTTTTAGCAAGAGGATGTAAACTTCACAGATCTGGATGAAAGGTGGAGGATAGGAGCTTGACAAGGAGAACATTTGATTTGTCAATTCTGGTCAACTATATTTTATCATTACTATTTTGAATACATTTTAGCTTAAAGCAGCTGGGGATGTGGGAGAGCATTAAGGAATGATCTGCATGCTTAAGTCCCTGTTGTGTCCTTGAATAGTGTATTGTCAATATGTTGTTATTATAGTTTTGCTTGTGTAAAATGACATCAAAACAAATATAGGCATGCAGTATTTCTAAAAAGATGAAAGATTACAAAGTATCGATGTCCAAAAGGACCAATATGTCGTTGTTCACAAGTCACTGAAAGCTAACGTGCAACAAGCAGTTAGAAAGGCAAATGGTGTATTGGCCTTCATTGCAAAAGATTTGAGTGCAGAAGTAAAGAATTGTTGTTGCAATTGCATTGAACTTTCAGAGCCCTTACCTAAAGGCCATACACTTCATAGAGGGGTGCAGTGGTAGTTCACAAATCTGGTACCTGGGATGGTGGACTTGATCTGTATGGAGAGATTGAGGAGTCTAGACCTGTATTCTCTAGCACTCAAAGAATGAAAGTTGACTTTGTTGAGACATACAAATCCTTACAGGGCTGAACAGGGTGTTGTAGGAACAAGGAGAGAATTCCATGAATTTGACCCAGCAACACTGAAGGAACAGCGATTATAGTTCTAAATTAGAATGATTTGTGGCTTGGAGGAGGGCTTGCAAGTGGTAGTGTTCCAAGTACCTACTGTTCTTCTAGGTGGTAGTGGTCACAGGTTTGGAACGTGCTGTCTAAGGAGCTTGATGAGTTGTTGCAATGCATCTGGTAGTTGGTACATGTTGCTGTCACTGCGTGTCAAGTGGTGGACGTTGAAGGTTTAGATGGGGTACCAATTGACCTGGCTGTTTTGTCCTGGATGGTGTCAAGCTTTTTGAATGTTATTAGAACTGCAATCATTCATGCAAGTACAGAGGTTTCCAGCACACTCCTGACGTGTGCTTTGTGGATCGTCCAGAAGTTTTTAAATACTTGCCTCAGAATTCCCAAACCTCAAACCTGCTTCTATAGCTACAGTGTTTAAATGGCCTACTTAGTTCAGTTTCTGGCCAATGTTAACCATAAGAATGTTTAAGGTAGTGGGGGATTCAGTGGTGATAATGACATTGAATGTCAAGAATCAATGTTTGAAATCTCTCTTATTGGAGATGGTCATTGTCTAGCATTAAGTGGCAAGTAACATTTGTGCAACTGGTCAGTCCAAACCCAGATACTGTTCAGATTTTGCTGCATTTGGACTCTAACTACTTCAGTATCTGAGGAAGCATGAATGGTGACAGGCATTGTACAATCAGCAACAAACATCCCTATTCCAGTGGATGAAATATCATTGATGGAGCAAAAAATATTTTGGACCTAGGACATTATCCTGGGAAACCCCTGCAGTGCTGTTATGTGGCTGAGATGATGGACTGTTGACAACTACAGCCATCTTTGTTTGTGCTAGGTAAGATTCCAATCAGTGGATGGTCTTCCCCTCCATTTTGGTTGACTCTAGTTTTACTGGGGCTCCTGGATGCTGTATTCAATGAAATGCCCCCTTCAAGGGCAGTCACCTTCAGTTCACTACGACAAAATAGCACTGAGGCAGAAAATAAGCTTGTCTATTAATGGCAGACTAGGCTTGAAGGGCCAACTGGCCTTTTCATGCTCCTGTTTCCTATTATATGACATCATGCAAATCATGCAAATCTATTGATTCATTCTTGCAATTTAATAAACTCCAGTTATTGTTGAGTAGTTCTGTTCAAACTACACGTGAAAGAGTAGTCTAAAGCAAAATATTTCCATGTAACTGGAACCTGTCCACGGGCTACAATATTGCTGAAAGCTTTCTTGATTGCATTAATGGGAGATTTTTCTTTGATTCCTGTAATATATCCTGGAGTTCTCTAGAAATCAGAAGGCAGTTCTCCTTGATAGTGAACCTTTAATGAACCTGCTATCGGACTTTTGATGTCTTCTATCAAAATGACACTGAACTTCAGTGTTTAATGTCACACCCACCCACATTTACCTCTTGCAATGTTGAAAAGGTGACAATGCACGTAAGGCACGTGGTTACTCAGTTAGTATAAGCATACTGAAATTCCTATCACAATTATGATAGTACAGCATTTAATGAATTATAAACTCCTCTTTAATGCAGTTTTAAGCCTTGTGCTTAATGTCTTTTAGTTAATGTCTTAAGTCTAATGTCCTTTAATCTGGCCAGAAATGAGTCCAAGTACTTCACAGTAATGACATTGTACTATGGATGTTGAGTGGTAGATTTGAATATTAGCACTAATTAACCTGTTGTCTGAGGTTACATCTGTACAAAGATCTGTAATGCTCCCCAACGCTGTTTGATTTTTAAAAAACAAAACTTAATTTTCAAAGATCCAGCTTTTATTTTACAGAAGTATAATGTGACTTACAGAAATTTGACACTTGTGAATCACTGCAGCCAGGAAAGAATTTCGTACAATAAGACAGCATGATTACAGTTTAATTGCACAGTGCACAAAAATGTGACAGAATAGGTGTATGACAATATCTATGATTTCTGTGCCTAGCCTGAAATCTCTTTTGAATTTATCTTCAATCTTCTACATTTTCTAATCCAGGAAGCCAGTTGGTAAAGGGTAGAAATGGATCATATATTATTTCTATTATTTTCAATCACTCTGTTTAGGCATGTTATGGCCTATCTCCTGGGCAGGCATGTCTTGAATCCAGATGTTCTGGCACAGAGGAAAGAAAATGACCATTGTGCCTGAAATACTCAATATTTGTTGAAAGGGTTATAGATTACAAGCATACTGTGCAATGGTGTTCCTACCTCTATTTATTTAGTTTCACCCAAAAAAAGTTTTGGAAAAAGCAGGTTCACCTGAGGATAAGAACTTAAATATGCAATTCTTCATTTTTACTTTTAATATTTTTTGTTTCCTTTTAAAACATTCTTGCCTTAAGGCGTTTCACCATTCTACTTAACTGTCCGACACCAAAAGTAGCATCTGGTCTGGTTTAATTATGTAACCAGTTCAGGCGATTAACCAAGCTTTATAATTGTTTTGCTTCATCTTTAAATATTTTGTCTTTCCATGAAGGCCTAGTGTGATTAACTAGGATAGGAGTAAAACAAAAATAGAATTGTTGATCTTAAGTTATCCCAGACTTGCTCTCTACTTTAAAAAGTAAGCCAGTGTTGTTTTATAGGATTTCAATAGTCACCAAGCCCATAGTGATCAGGTCACCATATTTGCCCATATGATACAAAATATATGTAAAGGATGGAGTGAAGTTGTAGCAGTCTGAGCCAAACTGAAGATGAGGGATAGGTCCTAAATTGAGTAATGGTACACTGTATTGTGACAGCAGAACTGTCAAAGAATATTTTTAGCAGCAATTAATTACTACATGGCATTCAGCTGTGGTGTAACAGTAAAACTGTTTCAACATACGTTGACGTCCTTCCATGGGGCCTCCTTACCACATATCTTAATGGAGCTAATCTCCAACGTTTGTTTTAATGTTAAGGACTATTTTTGTGCAGGATTTAATACTTAGTTTTTGATCATGGCAAAATGGTCACACAGAATTTGGAACTGTATTCTGAGTTGAATGGGCTGCTGTAGGATCATATCTATTCATCTGATTACAATCTTAGGAAGACTATCAATTCACCACATGACTGACGGATTCACTGAGAATGGTGAATGTATGTGCAGCACTGATCTAAACCAGTATATTGCTCCCATTAGCCTCCGCTGACTTCCAATTATAAATTATACTCTAATCATATTAATAACGCATTTCTCAAATTCCATAAAATCATCCCATAAGAAGTCATTAATTTGCTTTGTGAAGATTCCTGAAAATTTTCTTTTATGATATCATGAAAGCATTGCAGTATCTGTTTTTCATTGAACACAAACTATTTTCAGCAAAGCAGATCTCATTTAAAATGCTACACCTTTGAAATATTGTTCGGGCCATAGACATATTTGTTTAGTTTCCATAGTTTTCCTTCTGTATCTGCTGCCTCTTTGGGCTGTTTCAGAAACTTTGTTTGAACAGTATTTCCTGGCAGAAGTCCAACTTCTATGTTGATTTATCAATACATCATGAAAATGTGGTTAAAAGAACTAAAAGGATGTTCCAGGTAACTCTTTTAGTTAGGGGAAAGTCGACTCTCTAACACCTAATCACCCGGTTGCCCTTCGGAGCTCTTTGCAACCATGCATGCCTTAGCTTTTAGCCCCACATGATCAGAATTTTTACACCTACCTGATAAAAACTGGTTACCCTTTTTCTCCTATCTTGGAATAAACCCCAAACTCCAAATAACTAATTCCGTTTATTTTACTCTTCTTGTCATTTTATCCTCTAGCTTATTGTCAGCCACCAAAACTTCATAGTCAGGAAGACTTCGACTTCTAGTTGTGTTTTGGTCTGTTTTGTGGTCATAATTTGATTATTTAAAGTATTTAAGCTATGGCTTCTACATGCACTTCTAAATCTGTCAGAATATTTTTGCTTGTGTGAATTTTGGTTTAGCATCATAGGAAGTTTATGGCACAAAGAGACCACTTGGCCCATCATGTATGTGCCAACTGAAAATGATGCACCTATTTTGTAGCATTTGCTCCACACCCCTGCAGGTAACAGCACTTGAGGTGCACATCTATACATCTGTTAAATGAATTTCAAAGTTTTGTCTCCACTATCCTTTTAGGCAGTATATTGCAGACCACCCACCTACCACCCTCTGCCTGAGAAACTTTTGCATCTGCTCCCCTGTTATCAATGTCAACCTATGCCCCCTAGTTACTCGCCTCTTTGCTAAAGTAAATGGGCTCTTCACATCCATTGTATCCAGGCCCCACACAATCCTGTGTACCTCAATCACATCTCCCGTTCTCTCCTCGGGAGAACAGCCCCAACCTACTCGGTTTTTCCCCATAACTGAAATCTTCCGACCTTGGCGACGTCCTTGTAAAGTTTCCTCTGTACCCTCTCCAAGGCAACTCCATCTTTTCTAGTAAAGAGGTAACCATAACTGCACACAGCACTCAAGTTGTGGCTTTTCTAATTATTTATAAATTTTCAACATAAACCTCCCTGGTCTTATGCTGTAAGCCTCAGTTATTAAAGGATTCCATGTGCCACCTTAACCTTCTTCATGACTGTCCTGCTACTTCAGGAATCATTGGATATTCACTCCTACGTCCTTTACTTCCTCTAGACAGGGCTTGTCCAACGGGCAGCCTGTAGGCCACCACGTGTTCCCTGCAACGGGTGCCCAGGTGGCCTGCCAAACCACTGTTCAAGAAACAGGTATGTCTAACTGGAAAATTTTGGAGAGCTGCTCTTCCATTCACAGATTGTTCTTTCCAGTGTTTGTTGCTGATAGGCTCACTTCTCAGCAGCCAATGAGAGAGAAACAGTCAGTAGTTGGAGATGCAGCAAACAGAACTGTGTGAGTGGATTCTCTTGACCTGTAGCTTGGAACCGTGGCAGCTAGTCTGGAGACTGGCAGAATCTTGTGGAGATGCTGGCTTATGGAGGAGGGACATGAGAGTTGGGCTAGGGCCTGGGATGGAGGGGATTGCAAGTCAGGCTGCTGCCTAGTTGCTGGAGTGGTGGAAATGAGCGTCATGCCACAAGGGCAGGGAGGCATGAAAATCCAGGCTTGGCACCTGCGGGGAGCAAATGAGAGATGTGATGCTGTTTCGAGGAGAATGGGAGTTGAGCCATTGCCTCACCACGGAATGGGTTGATACAGGGAGGTCAGGAGAAGTGATGGTTCAGCAACAGCACGGCTTGACAGCTGGATTGTTACACTAAAAACAAGAAAACACACATTTTGGTTCTTTCACAGCCATCCCACTCGTGTCCTCAATGGTATTAATCACCAAACCTCCTGGGCCTGCGAGTGAATGGGTTGTGTAGGTGGGCACGTGAGATTGAAGTGGAAGCCCACCCACCCTTCCCATCCTCCTCCTGCCCTCGCATAATAGCCTGGGAGGGGAGGAAAACCCAGGCTGAAAGGTAACCCACTTCTCATATGAATTCAATCTGACATGTCATTTATGAGGGAAAAACTGAGGATATTGTTAGTTAACCCCAACTCCTTGACTCTGCTTTAGTACTCCCGCTTCTTCCTTAGTGATCAGGACTTAGGGCTTAAAATCTGGAAAATACATGTTTTTATCAGTTAGCTTTGCTGTTTGGCGGTGTTAATGGTTGTTTCTATTAATTGCACATTAAAATGATCAATTTATCACATTGAAATATTTTTTCATGTTTACTGTTGTGGAAAACCTTAAATTTCTGAAATTTGCTCACTCGCCCCCTAATCGGGAGGAAATGAAATGTTGTTTCCCGTGCAAAAAGGTTGGACAGTCCTTTTTCTATGATGTGGAGGTGCTGGTGTTGGACTGGAGTGGACAAAGGCAGAAGTCACACGACACCAAGTTATAGCCCAATAGGTTTATTTGAAATTGCAAGCTTTAGGAGCACTGCTCCTTCGTCAAGTGATTGGCCTGTTGGGCTATAACCTGACGTCGTGTGATTTCGGACCCTGTTCTACTTCTTATTACTCGCCCATCACTTGAGTGTTCCCTTGCGTTATTTCACCTCCCGCACCACCTCCTTCTCCATGTTGACTTGGTTTGCCACCTGTCTGTTAATATTTTCCAACCTTCTTGGGTGAACATTTTCTGCTGCCATGTTTTAACTCAAAATGAATTGGTGATAGAACTGAATCTTTACATGTATATTTATTTACATTTTGTCTATATCTATTTATTGGAGCTCAGATTAACCCCCAGCTAATTTTACCACCTGCATTTAATTAAGTACAATTAATTTACATTTAGCATTGAATATCTATTTCCTTGGTTTGTTTTTTGTTTAGGAAGCACAAGCATATGCCGAAGATTGTGGTCTGCTGTTCATGGAAACGTCAGCTAAGACAGCAATGAATGTCAATGACATATTTCTTGCAATAGGTACAGTGTTTTGGATTGCAGTGTTTTCCTTGACTTAGATTTGAGTTAAAAAATGTGAAAAATCTAAATGTTTGTTAGTTAGCATAAAACACAGAATTTGTCTTACTTTGTGGAGCAGGAGAGTAATGCAATTCCTCAAATCTCACTGCAGTAGAAGTCCTTCATGGAAGCCCGTATAAATACATTGTTCCATTAAGGAGTCGAAACAGTTTTTAATAAAAGTTTGCCCTTCTTGATCATCAAGCCGCAATACAGTTGGAAACTGACTGCAAAAACTCTGCTGTGGATAGATTACACGAGTGGAAGGAGAGAAGAGAGTCTTGGTTCGAGAATCCCTCTTTTTCAGAGCAACTCGTGTCCTCTCTGCTCAGAGCCCTATGGCTCCATGAGTGACTGACTAAGTCACCTGAGGAACACTATTTGTCATGCTTGGGATACATCTTCCTCACTTCAAGGGACTGACAACAATATGCATTATAGTACTTTAGTTTTATCCAAGCAAAAATTAAACATCTTTATGAATGTACAGTTTGATTTCAGCTTTCCAACATGTGTAGTATTTTGCATTTGTTTTGCAGATTTACAAGCTCTTCTTTTTTTAAAAAGATTCCTAAAGTTTTATGATCTTTCTAATGATCCAGAATTTGAGTCAGGGGTACTTGCAGCAGGAATCCATTTGGACCATCAGCATGTCGGCTGTATTGAGCAAGAGAAACTAAACCCATTGCTACATGCTTTCTCTATGGCCTTTAATTTTTCTGGTTCACGTGTTTCTTAACTTTTCCTCTAAAAGGAGCAATGATTATCACCGCCTTAACCGCTGCTCCGTGATAAGATTCTATAGGCCATTCTGCACAAACAGTTTGTCCAAAACCCACCCTAACTCTCAATATAAATTCATTCTGCTCCATCAACCAGCTGAAATACTTTTGTTTACTCACTCGCTTTATTAACACTCTTCAGAATTGTTTGGAAAACTGAATTACCAAAATAATTCCGGCATCTATCTATCTATCTTAACAGTAATGTCCCATCTCTGGCATCATACTAGTGAATCTACGTTGTGTTTTCTCTGGGTTTAATGTTCTGTGTAATGGGATGCTGAAAATCGCATACTCGCTCTTGTGGCAAAACACTTGTGGCAAAACACTTGTGGCAAAACACTTGT